GTATGCGGGAGCTTCGAAGAATTTGGGCAGCATTTCGGCCATGATCTTGCCCATCCTCCTCTATCAGCAACATGGATGGCGGGCCGTCTGCCTCGGCGCTTTGGCAGCGGCGGTGTTGTACCTTTTCTTGTCGATCCTGCAAAGCCTGCAGCAGGCCTCGGTGTCGGAGCTCGGGGTGAAGGCCTGGCTTGTAGCAAAGACAAAGGCAGGGCCTTTGAATGATCAAAGCGTCTTGCATCGACTCTCAGGACTCTGAAGCCGATTTGACCGACGATGTGAGCTCGGATGGTGCCGTGGTGTGGATCGACTGGATCATCGGCTTCGCTTTCACCATTACGGAGCTTCAGTACAACATCGGGAACGCCGCCATTCCGCAGACCTTGACGAGAACATTCGGACTGCAGGTTTGGCAGGTCGGACCTCTTCTCGCCAGTGTTAATTGCGCTTGCATGTGCTTTCTGGCTTTGCTGCCTCGCCTGCCGGCCGCTGGGATTTGACCTTTGCACTATCACTTCTGCCCTGGCACAACAAAACATTGAGGTGACATCAAAGAGGTATGTGAATGATGCTGATGTCAATGTGCCCCGTTGTGAAGCTTAGGTCGCAATGTTACACCGGAACCCCGTGAACATCGTCCTGGCCTTCCTTTCCATCTTGCTGTCATGGATCCTTGCCTCCGTTGCCTCGTTCATTCCGGAAGGCCTGCCCATCTTTGTGGCCAGCATCTTGCTCTTCACGCTGGCGGTGAACATGGTCCAGGTCCTTCTCCTGGAGTATCTCTCCAACGTCCTGGATGCCCAAGGATCCAAGAAACTCCTGGGCCTGTCTGAAACCTTGGGATGTGGCTTCGCCATGCTGGGCGGTTATCTGGGTGATGTGCTTGAAGTCTATGGGGATGCTGCGCCCTTCATGATGCAAAGCGCCGTCGCTCTGGTTGCCGTGTCCATGGTGGGGGCCTGCCTGGGGTATCGCCACATGACACGCTCCAAGGTGTTGTGCATGCAGGACAGATCGAGGCTGCCTTTTGCATTGCCACTTGTGTAAAAAACACGTTGAAGTGTTTTCGGTGTTGTATTTTGCAGTTTACAGGACGGGAATGGTGCGGACGCTCGTTTACAAAACCCGGGTAGCCCGAGCATGAGCAGGGCTTTGCGGTCTTGTGCACGGCAAAGCC